TCATGGGACTGCCGAAGGCAGAGAGCAAGGCAACATGATCCAATGTGGAGACCGAGCCTACACGAGCTACCAGCAACCTCAACAATGCAACCACCCTCACAATGCAAGTCAACTGTCTCCCGGACAAGAAGGACTGAGTTGCATGGATCAAGTCTACCAGTCTCAAATGCAAGGTCCGTACCAGCGTGAGGAGATCTGTGCCACCGGGATAATGGGTCAGGCTGACATTGCAAACAATCTTGTACAGCAAGCTGAGTTTGGCATGAGCAACTGTCAGCTTAGCCCCTCCGGTCCACATTATCCCAGCCAGGGTGATGGATCAGGACCCTGGGGACAGACCAACCAGCTCCACAGCCCTCAGACCGATATGCAGTACCAGTGTGCAGGCATTCAAGGACAACACTACCCTCAACAGGGTGTATACAACCCTACATCTGACCCTGGCCATCAAAGAGTTACTGTAAAACCAGAGCAGTTCCATTCATCCATGGGAGGAGCCAGTTCCTGCCAGAACACTAAACCTCTACACCAGCATCGGCATGATGTGAATATGCAGGCGTATCCACCGCAGTCAGGCCAGGGCATCATGGGCAGGTCCTCCAATGCGAACTGTGAATTCCATCACGGCCAGATGGGAACACAAGTCGGTCTTCCACAGCAGAGCCAGGCGGGATCGTTCCCGAGCGGTGGAGGGATAAATCTTGCACTGGCGGAGAGCCGTAGGTCGCAGACGCCAATGCATCAGATGAAGGAAATGATGGTGAGGAATTATGTGCAGTCCCAGCAAGCGCTCCTTTGGGAACAACAGCAGGAGCAAAGGGTAGTCGATGGGAAGCCCGATGGCATGGAAATGGGAGGGCATCAACAAGCTAACCAGAACCTTTATCCTGGAAACTCCTACCAAGGCTACCCGAATCAGAACTTGATGAGCCCACCGCAAAATCGAGTTCCCAGTTCCATCAAGGAGCATACCGCTGGGATGCAGGGATCCTGCTATGGGCCGGATATGGTGCCACGACCACCTCAGGTACAAAAGCCTCTGAGTCGCCAAAACAGCCTATCCCAGCAGACAGGTGGAGCTTACCTGGGCAGCCTGACTCACCTGAGCCTGGTCCACTCCACCACCAGTCCCAGAAGAGGAGTCCGTCTCCCACCGGTTCAACAACAGCAACAGCAGCATTCGGAAAACTTCACCAATAACAACAAACCCATGTACTGCTCAGGCCAGATACACATGCACCACGACATAGAGAAGACTCAGGATGGACCATGCCTGGCCCAGCAGCACCTGACAGGGATAGACCCTAGTACCAAGCCCACCTCGATGGCCTACTCGGACCCTGCACCCATGTCCAACGCCTTAGAAAACCTGGACTTGGAGAACGCTCAGATTGACTTTGCTTCCATCATTGATGACCCAGAACCTTCATTTTACAGTCCAATAAACCCACTGCTGGGTCACCACCAGTGCTCCTCTCAGACCTCCTCCCGTCTCACCACACCCCAAACCTCCATCACCCTTCCAAGTGGCCTTTCCAATATGGCAATCGGGGACATGACCTCGATGTTGACGTCCCTTGCTGGGGAGAACAAGTATTTGAACACATTGTCTTAAAGTGTTTATACATATAATTGGGCCAAAGTGAGCATGTAGACTCTATTGCCCTTACAACACTAAAGGTTCCTCTGGACGTCCTTTTCTTGCTCATGCGCCAGGTACTGATGGTTCTGCTGGTGTCCTTCATGGGATCTCAGAGATTTTGCATAATAGTTTTGTAATTGTGTAAAATATGTTGCTGAACATTACCACAGAGGCCTAATGACTATTACTGAAGGGGCATTCCGGTCACTACTGTGAGACTGTTTACGATGGAAATCTTGTTTAAAATGTAAATATGAGCTTTGGACTGTAAATGGTGGCATGATAGTATAAAGAAAATCTCCTTTTTGATACATATACAGACTTGGACTGGCACAAAAGCCACATGAACTCTACATAAGAAGACTGAAATACTAAGTGAGCGAACGTGTAAAGGAAGAACCTGGTTGGCACGTTCTCTAGAAGTATTGGTAAAGACAGGACTCAAGTGCCTTCAACCATTGTGGCCTCTTTGATTCCTCACAGGTACGACATGTTGGAGAAAACTCGACAGATGAGACACATGGACAGTCAGATAGAAACACTGACAGATGGATAAACTCAGTATGAAGCCCAAAGTATACGAACACTTAATGTATGAGTACAGCAGAATGCATAGCCTTTCAAAGTATACTCCACTTAATAGTGCACAAAAACACAGGTGGCTGACACATGCGCGCTAGACAGTTTCATTTTTGCCGATGTCTGTGCTATTTCTCTACAGAAGTTATGAGCAATAAAAACAAACGTCTTTGTTCTCTATTAAACTAGCAGGTGTCTATATTCTTGTTGCGTCTCCAGTAGTTTGTCTTTCCATCTCGTTTCTTTTTCTACCGTGTAACAACCAATGTCGCCACCTTGTGGACCAACTAATTAGTGCAAAGAAGGTGTTTGCTCAAGCTGAGTGTAAAGAGTACATGCATATACTTGTTTGGGCTTAGGAGAAAGTGTGTTCTCACTAAAACGCATCACTAACTGTCATAATGGCAGATTACAGAACAGTATTTTGAAGCCTCGTTAACTATCTCTAGGTCTAGACAGGAGCCTTTGAGTCATAATATTAATTAAAAGTTCTAGTGTTTGTTTTCTAATTATTTGACTAGTCTGCTTTCAGACAGATACGTTAAAGGGTAACGGCACTGAGTGGTTTTTGTAAGGTTTCTTTTAGTCTACGCTGCGTGCGCTATGTAACCCAAGCTAGCATGCAAATGCATTGCACTGACAACAGCACTGAGCTGAGGAGAAGAGATTAATTTTAATTAATGGTTCCATATAGTATGAAAGGTACATACAGTGCAGGTATTTTATTTTTTGGTTTTAAGTCCTGTTATTTCAACACTTTGTCTACATTGTGCCTAACTCGTTTTAAGTATAATTTTATCATTTAAGTGTTATCGAGGGCTGCAACCCTTTAAAAATCCCAGTGTTTCCACCTTCTGTGGCATACCAAAGACGACCGACACTGAGACGAGTCCACACTTGATATTTGCTAGACATCATTTGCATTGACAGCTAGACGTCATGTGCTTCCATATTGCTGCAAAAAATGTAACGATGTTCTTTTTATCATTTCCTCTTTTTTTAAATAATTTTTTTTTTTGTGGTTTTTGCATTTCTGTGTGTTTTTATATCCGTCACAGTTCACTCAAACCTTTTATGCTGGCAAAAGTAGTAACAGATTTATGATATTAGCATTTATCTCATGTATTTACAAGGAAGTGATATTTTTGCATACCGTTTTCTACATTTTTGTACAAAAGTACTATATTATACCAGTTTATAAATAAACAAAGCCTGTGATGGAAGAAAATTATGTACTGTATTATGTTTCTTTGTGCATATCCAAGTCATTGTTATTTTAGTATCATTAAGATACTATTATAGTTTTAAATTATATTTTGAATTAGTGTTTATTTATAGATTTTTTTGTTTTCATTTTAATTTTAGTTGAAATTTTAGTCATTTTGTTTTCTTTAGTCATTTTTATTAGTTTTTGTTTTTTAAGCATGTTTAGTTTTTATTAGTGTTTATTTCAGATTTAGTTCTTTTAGTACATCAGGTTAAACTATATGAAAATGAGAAATGTTGCAACTAGCTGAAATGGGTCATTTTTATGTTTTCTTTAATTTCAGTTTATTTTATTTCAAGTAACGCAAGTTTTTTTTATGGTTTTCGTTTTATTTAACTATAATAACCCTGATCCATGTACTACTCTTAATAGAAAAAAAATATTCGCACAACAGCATTTGTGTGCTTTTTGAATGCTTTAACCACACCGCCTTTATTTTTTTCAGGTAGAAACACGTCAAATGTCCTCTAGATGGCGTCAAAACTACAGCTCATGGTCTTTGTGAGGTCTTGAAAGCCACACACAGGGTTTATGTTACACTGGCATATTAGATCCCTCCTCCTTTAGTTACAAAGAGAACATTTTTGCTCACTAATACTGAAATCTCTGAGACAAAGCTAATCCTCTCCATACTTGCCCTTTCCCTGTCCCTGATTATAAGATCAAAAGAAAGATTTCCCTGGACTACATGCCAGTGTGTGTGTGTTTGAGTCTATAATGCTGTGGCTCCCGGTCCCTGGTACCCTGATTCGGCCCCACGGATCTAATGCTGTGTGCGGCATGAATCCAATGAAGACCTGCCCTTGACATCCCCATCGCCAACTCCGCTGACTCAATTCTCCCTGTCTCCCATCTGTTATTTGCTACATAACTGACTGATCGTCTCTGCTTCTTCCTTTCGCTCTGTGCCTTGCTTCTATCCTCGTTTTCATGACTTGACCACCGTTAGCCATCTCTCATCTCGCACTATCTCTCTTTCATCATTAGTGGCTTTTGCTCAGGCAAGGATCCCTTTACTCTTGCTCATACTTCGGGTTACCTCAAGTATTGAAGCCGTCCCACACTGTTTGTGCTATGAACATGAATGATTCCTCTGCGTGTTGTCATTTTTCAAACTGTTTGCATTTTTTGCAAAAAAAATGTAGTTTGCTATTTTTTTTTATTTTAAATCATTAAACAAAAACAAATGATGTTTATTTTGTGATGCATATAAATTCTGAAACCCCAATCAGTGCAAACCCTTTCTGCCACATGCACTCAATTGTCATTGAACAAATGCATAGGAAACGTACTAGTCGTTCTATAATTAACATCTGCAGAATGTAGCATTCAGCTGATTTCTAAAGAGAGAGTGCAGAGGTTTAACAGCACTCTGAACTACAGCCTGACTTAAGCCACAATCTACTGAGCTGAGGTTGCTGATACAAATGGAAATGGCAAAATAAGCGCTGAGGTTTTCACATGCAAAGAAGTGAAACCAGCATAATGACTTTTCTTTTCTTGGTTCGCCATTCAAGTCGAGGCTTTTTATTCTCTTTGTCACAAAGGTTGGCATATAATTAACTCCTGTTTAATATGCTGTTAAGGAAGACTCCTCCCTTTGCACCCTCTCTGAACCCCTGCCAAACTCGTGTGCATGCTTGGAAACCCCACGGGACACCCCACCCTAGGGCGTCCCTCAGTGAGTACGGAGGTGTTTGGGAACATTTGGTGCTCAGATTCTTGCACTTACTGGCTGTTTTAGACTCATTGCACACAGCAAACTGCACTCTTTGTCTGCACACAAAAAGACAACGGTACCTCGTTTATAACGTTCATGTAAAAACACTTTCTTGCTATCATCTGCAGGGGCAGAGGTGAAGCGGTGAATGAGGCTTTTCTTTGTGTCCACCTTTACTCCTCTCATCCAAGATCCACAGCAGGGTGTAGGTTTATGACCCATTCCATCTCCTTTCCTCTCGTGGACAAAAGGACTGTGACCTCTCATCCCTTCTCCTTTTCTTTGGCTTTCTCCACCTGAAACCCTCTATTTTATGCCCCTGAAAAGACAAATGTCCATTAGAAACAACAAACACAAGCTTAGCATTTTGCCTTTTAAATGCACAGGATTCACTACTAAAAATGACCATGGTTCATACATTGTTAGTACCTTGTAAATACCATGGAACATCAATATGGTAATCATTCTGTTCCTCAATGGAAATTAAAGCAGTATTACCTTCTGATATCATTACTGTAGCCTACTATGGTACCAACACAGTATTTTTCTAAGGTTGTATAAACAAACAGCTGGCATCCTAACTGCAAAACATTAAACATAGCTTAGCATGCCTTTAAAATGCACAGGACTCGCTATAAAAAAAAAAAAAGAACCATGATAATACATTGTTAGTTTGAAGCAGCCTATTGTACTGTGTAAAAAAAAAAAAACATTGTACATGAATATGGTAGCTAATCATTATGTTTCTCGATGGAAATTAAAGTACTGTACGCTAGTGTTACATTTTGATGTCACTGTAATGTTTTATCGACAGCATTTTTGTAAAGTTGTATACACAACACGTTAAAATAACTGCAAAAACCTGGTATAAACGAAAGTACAGATCACGGGTAAGTCTTGCCACGTAATTCACGACGCTTATGCAAAGCAAAATATCCAAGTAAACTATACAAACCATTTTTCTTTTAAATCTCGGTCATCCTGTGGTAATATTTAGTGTTGTGGGTTTTCTTGTAATGCCTGTAAGATGTTTTTTCCAGACAAAAAGGAGAAGTCCGCCTGCTGTTGTAAAAACAACAATTAAGATAAAGTTATATTTTCCCCTCGCTTTTTTTTTTCTGGCGCGAGACAAGGCATAATCAAGACAACGTGAATATAATCGATAGTTTTCAAAGAGCAGAAAATATTATAATATATCACAGATGGCGTGTTATTTCAGCTCAATGTGTATTAGCCTACTGCTGTTGCAAGACAACAAAATGGTATTAATATTAATAATAATTAACAAGAGTAAGATTGTCATTAAATAGAAAACAGAATTACTTAACTATTAACATCATTTAAAGCAGAAAAAGGGATCAAGGTCCACCCTATTGCGCGGCATTATCATGACACTGCGCGTGTATGCGTGTGAATGCCAAGGTAGGGGTCCTGGAACGGTGTGTTTGAGTTGTTCTGATGTTTTTCTTTTTCAGTTGCTAAGCAGATCACCGTTCAATTACTCGCACAAAAGAGGTGACAATACAATACTTCCTACAGCGATCAACAGGAGAACGGGCGGGAACAGGTGCGATTCGCTCCCAACGAAACGCGTAGCGTAGGCTACCTGCGCATTAAAACACCGTTCAACCAATATTTTTAAAAGGTAATGCATGTAGTCTATGTATTGCGATCAAAAATATAATTGCAAACCTAAAATTTGAGTTGGCTATTAACGTCTGACGCTTCATGAATACAAAAACAAGCATACAGTCTAGCGCTTTATACAGTTTTACAGTGTTAACAGGAAAATAGTTTGTCAATAATGCAAGAGGACAATAACAAAGAGTCGTTTCCCCAGCTCAAGTCAATTTATTGATGATTCAGTGATGCCATCATCATCATCCAGTCCAGCTGTCTTCCAATCCGTGCAATCAGTCAAGCGTCCCCAACTAATTAAGCAAGCCAAAGGAACGTGCGGTCCGCTTTGCATCATTGCTGCAGTCCTCAGCACGAGCGTCACATTTTCATTCAACTACATGCATGTATTTAATTTGATCAAGTTTTTCGCACGCACGCTAGCTAGTTATATCCTATTAGGAGCAATAAAATGCATGCGTAATATTATTGCTACGCGTTTATTAAGTATGGCCTATAGGCTACATTATACGTAACAGTGGTGTTTATGACTAGAAAAAAAATCTTTAATAAAAAAGCAACCCCTCCTTAGGAAATCACACACTTTTAAGTGCGCAAATCCTCCTTTCTTAGAACACACTTCGCAGTTTGGGCTGACACCAGACCTGCCTCCGATGACATCACCAGAGCCGCTGCTGATCGCGACGCGCGTTTGAGCGCTGCTGCAGAGCGACGCTTCGCTCGTTTATCCGCGCGGTCCGTCCTCGCGCTCGCCGGGCAAATACGGCCAAGACATGGCAGAGAGGAGCCGAGGAAAGCGGAGGAAGCAGGCGAACCCGCGGAGAAACCAAGGTTAGTGGTGAACTAACTGATCGAGCTGCCTTGAGAAGTTTCTAAGTTTATTTCTGCGCTCATTCATTCCGCTAGAAAAACTAGATCAGCGACGTTTGCAACCGTAGCCAGACATCAGCACCTCCTAATCTATTATTCCACGAATATTATATTACTTTAGTTTAATGCATTAGTAGCCTACATTATTTTTTTTCTTGCTTTGACTGTCAGCTTTAAAGTTTGCAGAACTTGCGGTCCGCTTTGCATCATTTCTGCAGTCCTCAGCATCACATTTTCATTGAAATTTTACAACATTCAGCTGTACTTTGTGTTGCACTTCCTCACATCCTCGTGTCTTATAACTGATGGACAGAAAATCGTTTCGATTTGTATTTGTCAATTAAATTAAGCGTTCTTTATAGGCTAAATAAATCGTTTAAATAAGTAGAACAGCGAGTTTATCTTACTTTAATATTATAGAGTAATATAAAGAAGATTACAGCTGGCATTAAAATGAATGTGACTGGCTATAATGATTGTTAACTTGAGCAACCTATGCATTATAATAATAAATGCAATTATATAATTTTGTAAAAGCAATTCAAATCTACACTCACTGTTTATTTAGGCTTATGCTATTTTTTTCCTGAAATTCACTGCAGTTCTGATTGTTGTAAAGTGTTGTCCTTCAAAAAGGGACAAAATTGCATTCGATAATTAAAACACTTGTTTAATTTAAATGTGTATTTAAATTGCAGATTTAACTTCAAATCCAAAAGCCCTGCAGCCCATCTCTATTATTTTGTATTTGCATTTTAGTAATGGGACTTATTTTTAAACTTCTCAGTCAATAAGACTAAATGAACTGAATACCTTTGGTTTTCTTGAAAAAAAAAGTTGCTCTTTTGGGCCTAAAAGAGTCCCATCTCAAGCTCTGAGCATCTTCTCATGGTCTCAAATATTCACTTTTTATACGTACACTCTAAAAAATGCTGGGTTGTTTCAACCCAACTTTGGGTCAAATTTGGACTAACCCAACTTTTGGGTTAAAAATGTAATGTAAAAATTTAACCCAACAGTTGGGTTAGTCCATATTTGACCCAAAGTTGGGTTGAAACAACCCAGCATTTTTTAGAGTGTGCACCCCACAAAAGTCACACTCGACAAACTAATTAGTTTCACATTTCACGTTTGTTAATATATTGTGTGTAGATATACCCATGAACGCAAGACGAGCTCAAAGCCGAGACAATCGTTCCCGGCGCTTATGGCTCGTTCCAGAGATCTGATACGTTAGTGGTTTAGAAGAAGTGTGAAAGTGCTTTGCTGGAGCATCTTGAGTGATCGTTATACATGATTGAAGGTGATTTGTTTGACATGCATGCAGGACGGTGTGTATTTGAGTGCATGTATGTGTGGTTCGAGAGCTTGCTCTTTTGGATGCGACAAAAGTGTCGTTTTTGTTGACCTCGCACCCGTGTGTGATGGCCAGAGCTAACGGGCAGAAGCCCTCTGTGTCACCTCACACACAAACACACTGTGTTCATATATATAGGAGATGTGAGACGTGACCCAACAATAATAAACTTGCTTCCTTAATTCCTCTATTAGCCGCTGATGCGCGAAAGTAGCATAAAATAGGATGGTTTGGAGTTGCCAGCTGCCTTTTTATTCCACCAATGGTCAGTTTACAAGATGATCCGTGCAAATAAGTCATTTAAATATGCTGATCAAAGCGTCATCTTATCAGTCAGATGCTGCTGTAGCATCACTTTTCTCCACGTTTGAGTCGTAACGTGTTTGAATCAGCTGTTTTTAATGGCTGTAAGAAGTCAGCGACTGGTTGCACTCTTAAAAATACTCTTTATTGGCTCCATGGAGCTTTTCCATTGTACAAAAGTTTCTTTGTAGTGGAAAAAAAGGTTCTTTAGATTATTAAAATGTTCTTTGCACTAGGAACCTTTATTCTTAAGAGTATAGACTAATCTTGCAAGTAATTCATACATATTTTTTTTTAAGACTGGACATTTTAAGTCACTTACATAGAAATTGGAAAAGTAAGATTGATTACCCCTTTCAGTAACTGCTAGTTGGTCAGACTATTTCTTAAGACGCAGACTAGTTTCCTTAAGTTCACACAGCTGTCCATCAGAGGCATCCACAATACTGACTGCCTGGCTTCATCTTCAACATATCTGTTGATTTAGCAGTTCAAACATCTTTTTTGTCAAATGTTTTATTTGTGTGTTTGTGCATCTGTATTTTCAATAAATGACACTTGCTTTAAAATCTAATTTCTAATGCAATGACATTTACATGTTTGAAGGGTGACGTAAGAGTCACTTTAGAATGACACAATGATACACTAAGCAATGACATGCAAAATGTTGTAATGCAGCCTTACATTGTGTCTCCCTCTCTGTTCTTTAACAAAAATAAGTGTGTGTGTGTGTGCATATGCATAACAGATGATTGTGATGAGAAAACACACAATCGCAACAAACACAGTGAGAGTTCTCTGACGCATTCATTGCTTGTTTCATGGCTCAGCAGCACATTTCTCAACTATTAAGTGTTAAACAGTGCAGATTCAGATTAATGATCATCAGTATTTGCACGTGTGTGTGAGTGTGTGCGCGTTTTTGTGACATATGAGGACACAAATTTGTATAATGACAAGGGTATGACATAGGTATTACAAGGAGAAGGTGACTTATGAGGACATTACCCCATGTCCCCATTTTTCAAAACGCTTATAAATCATACAGAGTGAGTTTTTTTGAGAAAGTAAAAATGCACAAAGTTTCCTGTAAGGGGTAGGTTTAGGGGTAGGGTTGGTGTAGGGCAATAGCACATACAGTTTGTACAGTATAAAAACCATTACGCCTATGGAGAGTCCCTACAATTCACAAAAACAAACCTGTGTGTGTGTGAGCGAGAGAGAGAGAGAGTGTGTGTGTGTTTGTATGAGAGAGAGAGAGTGTGTGTGTGTTTGTATGAGAGAGAGAGAGTGTGTGTGTGTGTATGTGTGTGTGTGTGTGTAGTGGACAGTGGGATAGTCCAGCTAACAGGGAACGTTCTCAGAACTGTGACTAAATAATCTCAAAGTTATGAACAAATGTTCTTGCAGTAACATGAATAGAATGTTTGTTCAAATTATCTGCTTTTTAATTGTTCTCAAAGCGTTAGCACAAAAACATTTTTTTTATACATCGTTCATGGAACGTTTTTCTGAAACTCTTCAGGTGGACGTTCACCTAACATTTTCCAAATGTTACTATTTGTTTCAGAATGTTCAAATCATTCAAAAGTAACATTCTAATAATGTTATAAAGTGATACAATGTTGTAAAAAGATACAATGGAATGTTCACATGATCAAGAAAAAAAGTTTTTAAAACATTTTAAAAAACAAAGTTTTTATAATGTGAGCAAAATGTTCTCAGAGCATATGCTTGTTAGCTGGGCGATTGCATCCGTCCTAAAACATGAAGCAAAACATTTTCCGTTCTTTTGTTTAGTGTTTTGCCGGTGTCACTCAAGAAGGCCGAGCGCTTTCATCTGACCAGCTACAGAAAACGCTTTGCAAAAAGAGCATGAGAGCCGCAGATGTTGTTCAGTTGGACAGCATCATCCTCCGTAGCGAGAGGAATGTCTTCTCTACGGAGGAATACGGATATAGTGACGTGCTGCGTTATAAAACCCGCTCGTTTGTCACAACTCCAGCCAAGTTTGTGATTGGATGATATCAGTTTTCAGAGATCTTAATGCAAGATGTCATCCGATCTGAAACGTCGCATCTTTGTTATCTGCGATTACGGATGGTCTTTGACCTTCGGTTTTGACGTAGTGCTGCAGTTACAGCTCATTTCCTTGCCTATTGTCGCTCTGCGTGTGTTTTCTCTCTCTCTCTCTTTCTCTCTTATTGCCTCTTTGCGTTTTCTTTTTTCAAGTGCCAATTTATTTAAACTCTTTTCTCTTTTTCTTCATTCGCCTTCATTGATTTCCAAACCCCAGCCTCTGTAGGCAGCTGGGGTCCAGCTGTGTGTCTGCTGTCGTGTGTGTGTGTGTGTGTGTGTGTGTGTGTGTGTGTGTGTTTCTCTGGCACAGTCTTGTCACAGTGGGCAGAATGCGAGAAAACGACAGACAGAGAGAGAGAGACTAAGAAAAAGTCGCTTGTCATTTTG